TTTTTTTTTTAATAGTTATATTTTAATTTAAATCATTAAATTATTATTTTATTTTATTAATAATGTTATAAATATAATCCTTTTTTTATTTATTTATTTTTTTTTTATCTTTATTATTTTTAATTATTTTTTTTTAATTTTTTTTTATTTTTTCAAAATTTATTTATTTTTTTTTTTTCTTTTTTTTTTTTTTTCTAACGAATTTGATTTTTTAAAAATTTTTTTTAAATTTTTTTTTATTTATCTTATATATAACCTACTTTTTACTTTAGTTTTTGTGTCTTTGGTATTGTTTACATAAAAATTATATATAACCAACTTTTTTTTTTTAAAAAAATAACTTACTAACCAATTTTTTTTTTTTTTTTTAAAACTAATTTTTAAACAACAATAATAAAAATAATAAAAATAATAATAATAACAACATAATAACAACAATTATATTATTAATTTTAGATTTAAAGAAGAAATTCTATATAAAAAAATAAAATAAAAATGTCAGCTCGTATGTACGAAAATTTCAAAGTCAACTCACCAAATGTTAAATATACTGAAGAAAACATCATTTCAGATTATACTTATCAAACTACCAGAACTCAATATGTTAATAACGAATTAATTGTTGAACCAGTTGAACAAAAGTACACTTTCAAAACTGAACGTAAAGTACCAAAATTAGGTTGTATGATTGTTGGTTTAGGTGGTAACAATGGTACTACTGTTGTTGGTGGTGTTATTGCCAACAGAGAAGGTCTTTGCTGGAATACCAAACAAGGTCTTCAAACTCCAAACTATTTTGGTTCAGTTGTTATGTCATCAACCATCAGAATGGGTCATGACGAACAAGGTCGTGATGCTTTTGTCCCATTAAAAACTGTCATCCCAATGGTTCATCCAAATGATATTGTTTTCGGTGGTTGGGATATCAACGGTGCCAATTTAGCTGATGCCATGCAACGTGCTCAAGTTTTCGATTACGATTTACAAGTTCAATTAATCCCACACATGAAAGATATCACTCCACTTCCATCAATCTATTTCCCAGATTTCATTGCTGCCAATCAAAAAGACAGAGCTGATAATGTTTTAACCGGTACCAAAAAAGAACAAATGGAACAAATCAGAAAAGATATCAGAGATTTCAAAGAAAGCAACAAACTCGACAAAGTCATCGTTTTATGGTCAGCCAACACTGAACGTTTCTCATCAGTTGTCCCAGGTGTCAATGATACCATCGAAAATCTTTTCGCTGCTCTCGAACGTGGTGAAGAAGAAATCTCACCATCAACTCTCTTTGCTATTGCTTCAATCTTAGAAAATACCCCATACATCAACGGTTCACCACAAAATACTTTTGTTCCAGGTGTTGTTGAATTAGCCCTCCAACGTAATGTTACCATTGGTGGTGATGACTTCAAGACCGGTCAAACTAAAATCAAATCAGTTCTTACCGATTTCCTCGTTGGTGCTGGTATCAAACCAGTTTCAATTGTTTCATACAACCATTTAGGTAACAATGATGGTAAAAATCTTTCAGCCCCACAACAATTCCGTTCAAAAGAAATTACCAAATCAAATGTTGTCGATGATATGATTGCTTCAAACAATATCCTCTACAAACCAGGTGAACACCCAGATCACGTCATTGTTATCAAATACGTCCCATACGTTGGTGATTCAAAGAGAGCTATGGACGAATATACCTCACAAATTTTCATGGGTGGTCACAACACCATCGTTCTCCACAACACCTGTGAAGATTCACTCTTAGCTGCCCCAATCATTTTAGATCTTGTTATTTTAGCCGAAGTTTGCAACCGTATTTCAATGAGACAAGAAGGTACCGATTCATTCGCTAGTTTCCACCCAGTCCTTTCACTCCTTTCATATCTCTTAAAAGCTCCATTAGTCCCAGAAAAAGCTAATGTTGTCAATGCTTTATTCAAACAAAAAGCTGCTATTGGTAAATATAATTTTTTTTTATTTTTTTATTTATTATACTATATACTAATTCATAAATTACTTATTATTAAACAGAAAATGTATTTAGAGCATGTATTGGTTTAGCCCCAGAAAACAACATGTTATTAGAACAAAGATTATAAACAGACCCTTTTTCAATATTAAAATTATAATTATATTCACCCCCAATCATTTTAACTTAACATATATTTATCTTTTTTTTTGTAATAAATCATAATACCCAGTTTCTAAAATGCCACTTTAATAAATTAACAAGCTTTTAAAAAATCACCCAAAATTCTTTTTTTTTTTTTTTTTTTTTTTTTTTTTAAATTTATAAATATATTTATAGTTTTTTATTTAAAGTTTCTTTTTTATAATAGTAATTTACTAATACATTTACAGGTTTGAAATTGAATTTTTCGTCTTGGCTATCAATATTTGTAACAAAATTTATTTCTTTAATATGATTAAAGATTAAATTTTTTGAAAATAAATTTAAGATTTTGTTTGTTTTATCTCTTGAAGATATAAAAGTTATAGAGTATACATTGATGGTTGTAATAGTTTTTAAAATCTTTTCTGTAATGTCACAATTAGCAATCACTATATTTCTGATGGTATTGTTGTATGGTAAAACATTTTCAAAAATACTGTCCAATGATGTGGCTCTAATATACAAGTTTTTGATTGTTTTATTTTCGACAAGTGATTCTGTGAATGCTGGGTCTTCAACAAAATTATTAAAAAAACAAATCTTAAGGGTTTCTATTCTTGTTGATGGACTTGTTAAGATTGTTTTAATACCCTTTAAAAGCAATGAAAAGTTTAGTTTACCTTTGCCTTCTAAATCATCAAAGCTGAATCCACCAACCCAACTAAAATATGTTGATAGTAAAAAAGATTTTAAAGTTTTATTATTTGAAAGGTGGTGTGTCATTGAATCCCATTCTTGTTTGAGCTGATGGTTTTTTTTATTGAATTGTTGAACCAGATGAATAATGTCAAATTCTACCGAAAGTGATTTTAAATTGGTATTTTCATTATCTATTTTTGTTAATTTACATGGGTCGACATAATCTGATTTATACTTTAGGCTTTTTAACGTGGGTGATTGAAATAGAGTTGATATATCTGGATGAGCACATACTAGTGATTGATAATGCCGAGAGGTGAATTTTATTTTTTTTGGATTTATTTTTTTAATCTTCTCTAATGTTTCTGGAGTCCTATTGCTTTGTTGTCCTAAAATAGTTATTGCATTGATTTTTAATCGTTTATTGATATCACTAAGTTTGGCTTCGTCAATTTCCTCCCAATAAAATGGCCCTCCTAAATAAAATAAGAATTTTAGGTCAAATAACGTATTGCTGGGGTATTCTTCAGTTGACTTGAATAGCAGTTGGTTGGCTTCTTCATTATTACATTTTATTAATACTTTTTTAAAACTGTTTTTATTATTGCACTTTTTATATTCTGATAGTGATTTGTATATTTTAACAATTTTGTTTTTTTCTTTTATTAATTTGAAGCTATTATTGCCTATTAATGGTTTTAAAAGATTATAGTTTTTGAAATTTAAAACCACAGATAAATATATCGAAACCCATTCGAATGTTAATTTGTTTACCAGTGACAAACAAATGGTCTCGTTGTGACAATATTTTATATTTGTATTGTTGGTGATCTGAAGGTTTTTTGGCTTGATCTTATAAATATAGGTTATTATATAGTCTATGATTCTTTGAAAAAGATAGTTGGGTAAAATCATTTTTAAAAATTAATTAAAAAACTAAAAAAATTATTTAAAAAATTATTTAAAAAATTAAAAAAAAAAAAAATATAAAAAAAGTTTTTTTTTATTTCTATATTTTTTCTTTATTACTTCTTATTTATTTTTTATTTTTTAAAAAATATTATCTTCTTTAAATAAATTAACAATTGTTTCTGAATTATTTATTAAAAAAACATTTGATATATCTTTATCTATTATGATTTTCCTTGTTAAATAAAAATTAAATTCTTTAATAGAGTGGTGCAAAAATTTATTTGATAGGTAGTCATATATAGCATTGAATCCCACTTTTTGTCGGGTAATATAAAAGGTTAATGAAAATAAATCTACATTTGAGTTTGAATTTAATAGTTCCAATGTTTCAAGAATGGTCCCGTATGCATTATTGTCGCATCTAAAAGTTATATTTTTAATTGTTTTATTGTGGGGTAAAACTTCTGAAATGATTGGTGAAATACTGGTGGAAAAAAGAGATAGTACCTTGATGGTTTTATTTCGAATGAGGCCTTCTAAAAATATATTATTTTGAATATATCCATCAAAGTAGCTAATTTCTAAAGTTTCAATGGCTAATGATGTGCTTGTTAAAATTGTTTTAATACCACTGGTGACATAAGATAGGTTTAGTGCATGTTCCCCATTTTTCTCATCGCTTGTAAAATCTATATCATTGCCTTGTAAATTATTTGGAAATAGAGATAATCTTCTAATTGTTTTATTATTTGATAGAGTTTGAACCATTGAGCTCCAGTCTTGTTCGACCGAGTTTAATATATTTACAGTGTTGATTGGAGCTCTTCCATTAAATATTCTTACATAGTCATTGAGATTTATTGATACTAGTAATGATTTTAAACTAGTGGAGTTGTTGTTTATTTTTGCAATTGCATATGGATCAACTACGTCAAACTCTATGAGTCTCAAAGTAGGGGATTCGAAAAAGCTTGAAATATCAATTGAAATATGTTCATTATCAAAAGGTTGATATACAATCTGCCCTGGGTTTAAAAGTAATACTTTTTCTAATATTTTTCCTGTAAGATCTTTACCACAATTACCATAAAGCAGTAATTTCTTTATTCGAATTCTTTTATTAATTTCATTTAGTTTATTTTCTTTTATTGTTTGAATTTGAGATACATCCATTGAAAGTTCCAAATTAAATTTGATATTGTTAGGGAAGGTATCATTAGAGTTAAACAGTAATTCCTCTGTTTCATCTTCATAAACATGGACTAAAATTTTTGTATAGTGATCTTTACTTGAACTGGTCATTTTATATTCCCTCAGTGATTTGTATTTTCTAATTGGGACATTTTCAGGTTTGATAAGGCTAAAAGGGTGGTCTTTGATTAATGTTTTTAACAATTTATAGTTTTTAAAGTTGAATATTAAAATAAGATAGCTTCTTATGCATTGGAACCACTGTTTATTGACACATGATAGCGTTATTATTTCTGAATGGTTATTTATATAGTCGCTAGTTGTTCTATACATATTTCCATATTTTAGTTTATATTGGTATATATGGTTAATTATAAATTTAATAATATCATCAATTATATAGTTAGGTAATATTATTGGATTCATTTATTATTGATTTATTTTTATTTATTATAAAACGAAATAAATTAATTTTTTAAAAATGAAAAAAAATAAAAAAAAAAAAAAAGAAAAAAATAAGAATTATATTATTTTATAAATAATATATAAAATAGATTAATATATTTAAAATTTTATATATAATCAAAACTAAAACAATAATTTTATTAAAATTTAAAAATTTATTATTTTATTTTTATTTTGTTTTTATTTATATCTATTTATAAACTATCAAAGTTTAATTTGAAAATATTATTACTATGGTTAAGCGGATCTATATTGTCGGTATCCACCAATTGAATGATATTGTTATTTGGCATGTTTTTATTTATGAAAAAAACAGAGCTTGAGTTTAATAATCCTACATTTTTTATATAGGTTTTTACAATCGGTTCTAAATTTGAATATTTAATAATTAGTTGTTCTTTGGTATCAGGAATAAAGCTAAAATTATCTGAATGCTGATTATGGTACTGGTAATTGATTTCAACCAAGTATTTAATTATTAACATAGAGTCTCTTAATAGCTTTTCCTTGTTTGCATAATGATTTTTTAATAATTCGCCTCTTTTGATAGTGTAATAAAAAATTAAATAATGGGCTTCATTTAAATAGCTTGATAAAGATATATTTGACAAGTTGTATAGATTTTTAAAGCCATTGTTTTTGAAGGGACCAATCATTAAAACTAAATCGATGATTAATGGTAAATTGTTTTCGACTCCAATTTTAATTAAATGGTTGATGTTTGCAGTTGTAATAACTCTTTTTTCGATTAAAAATAACAACATTTTGATCTGAGACTTTGCAACCATTAAACTGATCACTCCATTCCATCCTTTTTTGAACATAATTCTATTTTCTTGAATAAAGAGGTCTAGTTCTTTAAAAAGGTTGTTTGATATAAGGCTATCCATAAATTTTATACTTCGTTGCATTTGGAAGACTTCTTTACCAGGGTTAAATCCAAGATGGAGAAATCCGTCTACATTTGGGGCAAATGGATCTCTGGCAACAACATTAATAAATTTTTTTATTAGATTTGGGATTTTCTCTAGTTCACCAAATAATATTTTTCTTTCTTCATAATTGGACACAAAAAAGAATTTTTCCATTGTTGTTTGGAATAAGTTAGTATTTGAATTGAAGGCGATTTTTCTTATGAGTTGAACGATTTCTTTTTGTTGTAGGCAATGTTTTAAAACTGTAAACAAACTACATATGTCCCATTTGTCAGAGGGATATGATATTAAAATATAATATACCATATCATAATAACCTAAAGATGCAGCACTTTCTAATACTGATGATGTTGGTGTTAAATTTATATGTTTGTAATAGTTGATTAAAAATTTTAAATCTCCATTAAAGGCATTTGTTAAATATGCATCACTAAAAATTAGGTTCCAACTCTTCAAGTATTCAAACTTTTCTATATTCGAAATATTGTTGATCCTCCATTCGACTGGTTTGTTTTCAAAAAGTTCTTTATTCGATAAGTCATCCTCTAGGCAGTTGGCACAAAACATCATTTTACCAAACCTGAATTTGGAGTTTTTGTTGGTTCCGATGTCGCTATTATTAATTAAAAATTCTGCTATTTTTGGTGTTCTAATTAAAAATTTTTGGACCATATAGTCTCTTGGTGAATATCTCAAAATTTGAATAACTAAATCATCTAAAGTTGAATTAAATAAACTATTTGCTCTAATTGATAAATAATTTTCAATGTTGCTTTTTTTAATTTTATATCCATAAATCTCTATAAATTGGTCATTATTACTACTATTACATTGATCTTGTAAACTTAATTTATTTAAAAGGTATTTTATCATTTCTAAATCGTTGTAGTTTAAAATTTTATCTAATAAATCTAAAATTTCAATTTTTGAAAATGATACTATTTTACATTAAAAAATTAAAGGGTTAGTATGTTTTTTAAAATATAAAATATAAAATAAAATTGTTATGTGCACTTGTGGATATTTACCTGAATCAATTTCATTTATAAAAAATTTACCAAGTTCTTTTGTCTTTTTTTCATCAATAATTTGTTTTAGTAGTTCAACTAAATGAGCTGTTGTCACAGTGGTTACTGTTGTTAAATAGTTGTACATTTCAATAATTTCATCATTTGAACATTTTCCATAGTTGAACATTAGTTTATTGAGTGTAAATGACCCTTGATTAATAATTCTTTTTAGTACTGGCAAGTTACAGTTTCTTATCAATGCATTTTTATTTTCTGATGAATATTCTAACTTTTTTGGATTAAGCTTGATAATAAGGTCTAAACATTCTAAATCGAGTGATTTCCAGTTAAATATAATTTCGCAGTTA